CTATACAGCTTCTAGAGCTGGGGCACTTGATTATCCATTACCGTCATTCCCTAATTTTCAAAATATATTCATAACCCATCCTGCTACTAACTCTGCAAGACTAGAAGAGATTACAATTACGTAATACTTTATTATTTTCACTCAATACCGTGACTCCTACAGGCACAGGTCTCCACAGAAAGAAAGAGAATGCCCAGACGGTGTGCAATAGCTACTGTTTGCCACTCTAGTGTTCACCAAGGACAGCTGTTACTCAACCCAGGCAAGCAGCAAACTCTACATCAGGAAATCTATTTTCAAGAAACATAACAAAACCAATGCCGGGTCTTCTGGCTCATGTTCTCTTGAATAGCTGCCTTCCCACTGTGGATCTATGCTCCATGGGTGTAATGAATAGTTTATGTGCCTAGGTCTGTGACAGAATTTTAAACACAGTCTTGGGGATTACTTTTATCAACCCCCCCCCAAAAAAAACCACACCACTGTAAAAGGCAACCTGAATAATTTATGCTTCACTGTACTGAGGCAATAAAGAAACATTTGGTGCCTCCGCATGGAAGCAGAGAAGTGCCATCATTAATAAAGTGTTCACAGCCTCTAAGTGTTTTCCATAAATCAGTTCTGTGTGATTGGACTCTGTTATGGTATCGAGAGTCTGCATTATCGTTAAGGCGCTATACATAACACTGAACAGTTTGCTGTTAATTATACTGAAATGGCTTATCTCCACTAATCATTGCCATTTTGTACGCATGACAGAAGTGGCAGAAAATGTATTTTTAAAAATTTGTGTTGCTTCTCTCCGCAACAGAAGGTTTTGTTATGACTCATTACAGATCATCTGCCCTAGTCTGAGAAGAATGTTTATTGGCAGCCAAACCCTGTTGCACTTCTGCCTTGTACGGCAGGTGTTAAAGGCACAGAGATTCTGCCAGGAACATAAAAGGGAAGAAGAAGAAGAAGACAATGAAGATGATGATGATGATGATGAGATTGGATTTACAGTCCGCCCTTCACTACTTTAAGGAGTCTCACAAGCGGTTTACAATCTCCTTTCCCTTCCCCTCCCACAAAAGACACCCTGTGAGGTAGGTGGGGCTGAGAGAGCTCTTTCAAGAACTGCCCTTGAGAGAACAACTCCAAGAGAACTGTGACTGACCCAAAGTCACACGAGCAGCTGCAGTGGGGAATCAAACCTGGTTCTCCCAGATTAGAGTCTTAACCTCTACACCAAACTGGGTAATACTGGTGCAGCCACACTGCAACGGTTGAACCTATTTACAGTTCAACCAACCATCCACTTCAAAAGATTGATAGTGGTACATCAAACCAGTTGTGAATTTAAATAAATTATTTACATTAATTTAGCTTGGAGATGAAAATTAAAACATGTAACCATTAACCCTTAATGGGAGATTTGCCTTACCAAAGATATCAGGATAGTACGAAGTGTCAAATATTTAAACGAATGTAGGGAACAATCGTTCTGTGTTGCCATCGTTAGTACAGTATTTGCTCCAATGGAAGACTAGGTCCCCCCCCCCAATATGCCATAAAAAGGGGGTATTTTTACATTTGCTTACAATGTACAAAATGTTTCAGGGGGTGAGGTGTATAACTTTGAGTGGGGGTCATCTTACATTGCCTTCCTTTTGAGAAAATATGGTAATACAGAAGTATGCATGCACACAAAAGCTTATACCCCAAATTAAACTTTGTTGGTCTTAAAGGTGCCACTGGACTCAAACTTTGTTCTTCAGGAAAGAAGCTCTGATAAAAGGTGGAAAATCCTGCTTCCCTGGGCTCGGTCATGTGGTTCTCCAATTCAGAAAAAAGAAAGAAACAAGACGCTCATTTGGTGGCACCTCCTTTTGGGTGGGGCAAAGTGAGAGAGAGAAAGAGCACAGCAGAATCCTACAGTGCCATGGAGGGCCCAAGGAAACATAAATGATAGAAACAACAAACAAAAAAAGATAGAAACAACAAATAAATGATAGAAACAACACAAGGAAACATAAATGATAGAAACAACAAATAAATGACAGAAACAACCAATAACTTGAAGTCAAGAGCAGCTCAGGATGAATGTTGTTCAAAGCCACAGAATTAGTTTTAAAAACTGCAAATATTTGATTAGACTAATCTGACTTTCCTTTTCTACACTCCTTTTTATGTAATTCTAAACCATACAATGCACAATTCCTCAATAGAGCTGTGCCTAAATGAATGAAATGACTGATTAAATTTAAAATGATTAATTAAACTTATCATCACTTTTTAAAGAACATGTCAGCCTCTCAAAAGAGAAGCTCCGTGATACTGGCATTATATTTGGCTGCATCAGTACCCAGGAGTATGTAGCTTTTCAAAAGCCATTGCATGGTACAGTCCAATCACACGCTCTCTCCTTTGTTCAACATTATGGCCAGATTGTAAAATGTTATACTGTATTTTCCGTGTCACACGCTGATAGGATGAGTAGTCTTGCACAGAGATAACAACATTAGGATACTGGTCAGCAACCAGATGGAGCAGAATACTGAACTATCCATCGAAACAAAGCACACGACCAAGAAGATAGCGAGTAGGGATGGGAGGGGCTTGTCCTGCCCTTTTTTTGTAAATGCCTTTGAGGTTTCCTCAAAGACATCAGAGACTACAAACTTCAGGAAAATATACAATGTGCACTTTCTAATAGGACAGTAACTGGAAAATATACCCGCTGTTCAAATGTTTTATGCAGTTCCCTCTCTTCTCTTATAAGCACATTCACAAAAAACAAATTTCAGACTGAAAGGCATCCTTAGTATTTCTGGTATAGTATACTCCATCAGTTGGATCCTATCACTAGTGCAAGAGGGAAGAAAGGCCCCCTTCTAACACCCCAAAAAGTTATGCTTGACAAACGTGGGAACATACAGGCCAAAAGCCACAAGGGGAAGGAAACTCGGCTCAGAGGAAGGAAACTGGGCAATTATTATTATTATTATTTATTACATTTCTGAGTCGCCCATTCTCTGGGCGATTTACAATGCTGCCCCCTCCCTTTTTTACCAGAGGGAAAGTTGGTCGCATCTGACCCTAGGCCCACTCCCAGGTACGAATTTTGCTTTCTTGGTGGTCTTGACGATTATCACCCAAATGTATATATTTAAGCCAATCAATTACCAACAAAATAACAAAGCCACAACCGATTTACCAGTACCTCTTTTCTCTTAAACCACATTATGCAGTCCCCATTTGGTCAGTCTTGCCCCTATTCTGCCATCAAGGTCCTAATCAGAAGGCTAGAACAAAAACAACAGTTCACTGCTGCTATGTTCTGAACACAATGGAGAAAAATGGGTTTACACAGCCGCTTGTTCCAATTACCCCGTACATTTTATTCCTCTTTTGTGCATCCCTACCCCCCCCACCCCACATGCCCTTTTCACTTGATTTCTGTCCACACCCATAAGGGAAAATAATTTCTACAAGACTGCAGCTGCCAAGCTCTAATGACAAAAGCCTGCCAACTAATGAAAGTTTAATTACAAGCCGGAGCTCAACACACAGAGAACAAAATGTTCCATGCCGACACAAGGGCCACTCTCAGCTCTGCCCACTTGTGAAATACAGTAATTAAAGCTGTATTCCGTTCAGTCCAGTCAGCTACTGTATTCAGTCTCTTTGGGGGTCAGATTAGACATCACGAAAGCAGCAGCCACCTTTGTTTACTCATACGTCTGCCCTCTTGATGTACGTGGAGTCTAATTTGTACATCAAAAAGTCACAAGGACGATGATGGCAATGCTGTCCTGTCTCCTACATTCTACAGCAGCATTTCTCCCATCCTAGTAAGGACAGCATTGCATTATTATTATTATTATTACTACACTTACAATATTTTATCTGTTTGGGGAAACAATTATAGAAGCAGTCATATGATTTGGCTTACTGGAAGCAAGCATACCACTGGGATGCTATTTGAATCAGCCCTCCCTATTAGCTATGGAAGACACAGTGGAACTTCCATGTAAGAAGCATGATGCGCATGGGGACATTTCTGGTCACAGAAGCTGCTGCTCTAACTATCTTCTATGAGACTTCTCATTCCACATGACACTTGCCATGCAGGAAGAGAAGTGAGCTTGCACCAGCCAGCAGAGAGATCTTCTGAAGCATCTCTAAGATATAGAGAAAATCAGAGCAAGTATTGTTCTGCCAGTATCGCAGATGGAAGGCTGCGGCTAAAAGAGACTGTCTTCTTGCAGAAGACAGGAGTGAGATTTGAACTGGAGCTCATTCTCTCAGCCACCAGGCTGAAGTGGGATACAAGCAGCAGAATGAAGAGGAGGAGAAAAATAATAAAGCAGTAAATGACAACCTTCTCATCTGATGTCTAGAGGAAACAAAAACAAACAAACAAAAAACAGCATTAAAGGCATTTATGCTTCCATTGATCCACACTGGTTTACTTTTACATTTCCAAAAGGCAAACCCTGTAATTTAAAACACAAGATTCTGATTGGTTGTTTTCAATACAAATATATGTAAAGGTAAAAGGTAAAGGTTCCCTTGCTCGAAAGCCAGCTGAATCCGACTCTAGGGTTGCGGTGCTCATCTCCGTTTCAAAGCCGAAGAGCCAGCGCTGTCCGAAGACATGACTAAACACCAAGGCGCACGGAACGCTGTTACCTTCCCACCGAAGTGGTACCTATTTATCTACTTGCAATTTCTTGCTTTTGAACTGCTAGGTTGGCAGGAGCTGGAACTAGAGACGGGAGCTCACTCCGTCATGCGGCACACTCGGGTCTCGAACTGCTGAACTACCGACCTTCCACAGCCTGCAGTTCAGCGTCTTACCCACTTGAGCCACTGCAGCTCCTACACATATGTAAAATATATGTAAAACAGACCAAATATGACTTCAAAGTTATAAACAGCCTATGGCTGAAATTCAATCTTTTACTACTACAATCAAATATTACTTACCATATATGAAGGGAATATTAATACCCGCTTGTGCTTCCCACATGGCCACTGAGGATCATCTAAAAGATTAGGGTCGTATTCAATATAATCTCCAAGGTCACTCCCTATAACAACCAAAGCAAATAACTAAACATATATGGTAGTAGATGAGACCCAGTTACAGCAGTAAAGCCTACAGTTTAATTAACACAGGCTTTTCCTGTGCATTCCACACTAGAAGTGTATATCTGAGACAGAAGGTGGAGGCTGCATGTGAACAGTGATGTGGTTTTCAGTGGCAATTTAGCAATGGGTGAGGTCGCGTCAAGTACTGAAGCAACCCCCCCCCCCAAGCAAGTATTTAATTTAATTTAATAAAACTAGCAAGAAGATGCAGATGGGAGAGGACAGCACGGTTCCTACCTGAATTATCATAAAGTAATTTATGAAGTTCAAAGCAGCTGTACTAGGAAATAACATGGCAGTTGGTGTAATTCTTTTAAAACAAGAAGTACATTGCAAGTGGCTTTACTGGAGACAAAACAATACGTGCAGGATCTAGTGAGAAAGGTACAGGTGTGAATGGGCTTGGAGGCACTGCAGATCATGCAAAAAGAGCTGGCATTGTTTGCTATTGTTTGGTACAGCTGCAACAATTCCAGGGTGCTCTGCACCTCTGGCCATAAGCAGTTGCAAGCAACAGCTTACATTAATATGACGTGGGATAGTAAGAAACTGTTGGGTCTAGCTAGATCTCGTGTGCTAGGGAAAAGATGGATGGAGGTTTGTGGGATGTATGCAAAGGTGTCTTCACTGTGTCACTCCCACAAAGGGATAGTTAGTCCAAAGTTTCATTCGTGCACATTCTGAAGTATTACCTGCATCAATGCTTCCTTGAGTGCTGTTCGCCCTTCCCAAAGAAAGGCTACGATGGCTTGCATTGCGAAACTGTGAGAAAGATGTGGTGGAGTCTATTGTGTTTCTCCGTGCTCCCAGGGCATTTGTTGGAAACAGAAACTGGGTGTAAGAAACAGTCTAGGAAAGAACAACGTTATTCAGAAGGGACCCATGTAAACATATTTTATGAGCTGTGTTCTAAATTTGTTTTAAAAGCCATTGTTTCCTAAAAGATTTGGAGAATATTAATTGTCATTTTACTTTTCCCTGAGCTCCTTCCCTAATGTGAGTATGTTAAATTTGGCTGAGGAGGTTTTACTTTGGTAGGATAAGCCTCTTACCTTCCCATTTGCTCCTAATTCCACACCTTCCAGGCCAACTATATCTTTCAAACAAACCCCCGCAGTAGAATAGCACTGTCTTCCACCTTCTGTTTTCATATCCCTAAGAAGCAAGGTTGATACGTTTTGAATTAGATCATGCAACAGCATGGACTACTCTGTCCCCTCCCTTGAACACAAAGAAGAAAATAATTCATTATGCAGAGAGGGTCTCTTTGGAAAAATACTGAAGATTACAAACAAACCTGAAGATTAAGGGCTATCATTTCAGTGCCAGTAAACTATACATGATTATACATAATGTAATATATTTGCATCTTCACACACACACACATGCACATACAATAAAAAAGGAAGGTGAAGAATGCAACAAGGCCACCCAACACAGAATGTTTAGAAATTAGGACTAATTTAGGTTCTAATTTTCATGACCTTCAAACCTATATCAAACTTTTAAAAGTATAATCTGGTGTTCACGGATTAAGAAAATTATGATTTGTACATTGATACAGTGTAAAGATTTGATACAATAAATACAATTGAAATATGCATTTCGCCATACTATTATCCTTAGAAAACATTAGTGATTTAATTTCACTCTCCAAAGTAAACATTCTTCCTTGAGCCTCCAAAATTCTGTTTGCGAAGTAACACTGTATGCCCTTCACCTGATCCAGAGGTTTTTTAAAGGAAGTGCAGGAACTAGGGCTGCCAAGTCCACTGGCAGGAGATGGGGGTGGGGGTTAGGGTTGGCAAAAATTCTGGGTATTTGGAGATGGAGCCTGGGGAGGACAGGGACCTCAGTGGAGTACAATGCCATAGAGTCCACCCTCCAAAGCATCCATTTTCTCCAGGGGAACTGATCTCTATAGTCTGGAGATGAGCTGTAATTCTGGGGGATCTCCAGGTCCCACCTGGAGGTTGGCATCCCTAGCAGGAACTCCAGTGCATTCATGGGTTTCCTCTACTTCACTAAGGTTTCCCATGTGCTTCAAACTTACAACATGAATATGCCTCCCTCCACTAAAATGAGGATTCCCATGCATACAGAAAAACACCCTGAATAATAAAATAGAAACCCTGTAGTACTTTAAAAACTAACAAAATTATTCCAACACAAGCTTTTGTGACATCAGATCTCACTTCATCACATGTCATGCTAAACCCGAAAAATGTGTTCTCTTGATTAAATATACAAATATTGGTTTAATGCATCCTTCTGTGTTTAGAAGAGGCCTAGAAATAATAATTTTTGCTTGAAGCAAATGTGTATTTTAGAAAATTTAGATAAAGTAGAAGAAGAAGAGATTGGATTTATACCTCACCCTACACTACCCAAAGGTGTCTCAGAGCGGCTTACAGATTCCTTTTCCCTTCCCCTCCCCACAACAGAGGTAGGTGGGGCTGAGAAAGCTCTGACAGAAACTGCACCATCAGAACTACAGCTTGCCCAAGGTCATCCAGCCAGGTGCAAGTGGAGGAGTGGGGAATCAAACCCGGTGCTCCCAGATTAGAGTCTGCACATTTAACCACTACACCAAACTGGCTCTCTGAAAATTTGTGAAAAAACTTTTGTGAAAATCTTACACTGACATTGTTATGAGGAAAATATATGCAAAGTACAGCTTGGATCCAGCCTAGATTTTCCATGGGCACAAGGAGGAGTAAATGTTGGTTTCTGCAAGTGATTCCTAGGGATCTCCCATCAGAAGCAGCATTTGGGGGGGGGGGTTTACACTGCCAAAGGAAAACATCAGACAGTGAAAATCACCCCCCCCCGGGGGGGGGGCAATTTTAAGTAAGATGGAAGCCTTCCTTTTTAAAATCAAACCTAAATGTACTTTACTGTTTTCACAACACAAAATGCAATATTTAATTTGTAGCATATATTACACAATTTGCCATATAGATACCTTGTTTTTCCACCAGCAAAATGGCAAACATACCCAATATGAGATGGGAGGGCGGATTCTGTGCTGCATCTAGGGCTGCCAACCCCCCCGGTACGGCGGAATTCCTCCCCGGCCCCGGAGGCGGACGCTCCCCCGCTGGTCCGTTTTCAAGATTTGGCAACCCTAGCTGCATCCCATGCTATTAGCACATGTAACTTATTTTTTGCCATCTGAGTGGTAGAAAAACCAAAAGTTGAAAACAGAATTATGAATTCTGTACTACACAAACAAAAGTATTATTTGGATAGAAAGAGTCTCATAGAACTAGATTTATATTTGGATACAGAGTTTAAAAATTAGTCACATTTAAACAATAGAACATCCTTAAAAACAGGTTGTATATTTCTACAAGTGTACACACAATGATCATTCTCTAATACTGAAGACTGCTTTCGAAAAAATCTTTGTAGTATACATTCCGAGTGAGTAGAATCTGATTTTAATAAAAAGCATTTCCCTCATTCCAAAAACAAAAATATTTTATTGAAGTTTTTGTCAGAGCTATGCAGATTTCCAATATTTACATGGATTTTTTTTTACTGTGTTTTCCTCCTGATTTCTTCTGGTTTTTCAAACTTTACATCCCTAGAACACACTACAGGTGTTTTTTTTTTTTACAAAATCATGTAAAATGTTGCAAGATTTTAAATATACTGTAGAAAAACAACACTGTCAATTTAAACTAGGTCAAGGCTACATGTGAAAATACAACAGAAGTACTGAACTGGAAAGGGCTTGCTTTACCACAGATGTATTTTCCTCAGAGGTGGCTTCTAGAAAATAACACAAATTGATGGTTCTGTGGAGTAGGTACAAAATGGGTAAGCTTTTAACACAATTGCTGGCGCTTACATCATTTAGAAATTATATTTCACTTAATTTTTGGTTTATTATGGGACAGTGCTACTGCACTGATGTTTATTTTAATCCTGTTCAAAACATACATTCCTGTTATAAAGATGCCAGTTTTATTTTTTAATTCTCAGGATTTTTTAAATTAATGGATGTTTGCTCTGCCTTGATGGACATTTCTGTGAATCTGTGACACAACAGGCTTATCTTCACTAATTATCATATTTTAAAGGGAATTCAACATCTGCTCAACAGGAAGATCGTAATTATTTTCTGAAGTGAGCAAGTTCCAACTAATGAATACGTCCTTTCTTACACCGTGATAAAAGAGAGACCTGTAATGCATAAATAACCACTGCTTGACAAGAAAAATAAGATTTCTTAACAGTAATGCATAATTTCTCAGGCAAATAGCCATAACAGCACATCATAGCTGCATTTATGTAATTTAGGCAAAGAGAAGAATTAGAATGGCTAAACTGTAGACATTTCACCAAATGTTTATCTGCCTGTAACAAGTGCTGCTGTGCTGTTCCTATTTTGCTGAAAGTAAAGCTTCAGTACAAGTAATGGTCAAGGGAAAAACAGTGGATGAGGATCTACCCTATTATATTGAATTTTCACTGGTGTCAGTAGAATACAATTAAAATATTCAATATGCTTCAATTGCAAATACAAAGATTTTATAAGCTCTCTTACTTGTTTGTTGTATGAATGTTAAGAAGTTTGGTGTAGTGGTTAAGTGTGCGGACTCTAATCTGGGAGAACCGGGTTTGATTCCCCACTTCTCCACGTGCACCTGCTGATGTGACCTTGGGTCAAGTCACAAGCTCTGGCACAGCTGTCCTTGAAAAAGAGCAGTTTGTGTCAGAGTTCTCTCAGCCCCACCCACCTCACAGGGTGTCTGTTGTGGGGAGGGGAAGGGAAAGGAGTTTGTAAGCCGCTCTGAGACACCTTTGGGTAGTGAAGGGCGGGGTATAAATCCAATCTCTTCTCTTCTTCTTCTTATAATCTGATCAGCACCACAAAAATATCCTATAGTTTTGAGGGAGCTCTTTTATCATGTTGGCCATAAAGGAATATGATATGTAGACTATGCTCCATGAAATAATGGTGTTAATTTTGTTTTTCTTGAAACAGAAGATTCCTATTTAGTGTTTTGTTAAAAATTTACAGATGAAAATTTTGTTAATCTGGTTAACCCTAAAATATACAGATCTGTACTGCCATTCAGATAACAAACAAAAACCAAAAGACCCTTAATCAAACACTGATTTGCATAATTATTTCAAGAGAAGCACATTTATTCAATTACTTAAATGCAGATGCAGATCTATAATGAAAACTCATGCGGGAGTCTTGCTGGGCATTCACTCTTTAAGTGGCAACAGCTGAACTCTTCACCATGTGAATAATTTAAGAGACAATTAAATATTAACCAGAGTTAAAAACAAAATAGAAAGCAAAACCTCCTCACAGTGACAGAAGCCTCAAAACCCAATGCTATTTATAAATCAAGTGCTCTGACATCATACGAGAGGACTGATGAGGATTAATCAGAAAAGTATCCCCTATTTCATATTTCATGCAAAAAAAACCTCTTGCAGTGCAAGCCTAAGCAGAGATATACCCTTTTGAACCCACCGACTTCCAATGGACTTAAAACAGATTGCTGAGGATGTCACTGTCACTGCTAATCTTGCAAGGCAGTAGTTGGCTAACTAATGCAGTAATGGAGTTTTAGCGGCCTGTGACACACATCTGTCACTTCCAAAAGGTTTGATTACACTAACATCTCTGCTTAATCTCACTCAACTCCTTCCCTCTCTGCAGCTCCATTCCCCCACACCTTGCCTTTGGCCTATGCAGTCCCACAGTCTCCAGCATAATCTTTTCAGTGGTCAAAAACAGGGCCCTCCACCCTCTTCTACTTGCAGAAAAGCTGGTAGGAGCCAACCAAAGGCTATGAAACATTTGAGTAATTATTATAATTTGAGCATGGTTTCTTCCCTAGACATGCCATCACTCAACTCATGCTGACAAGACCTAACCCATATGAACTTCAGTTCATCTTCTCTTACCAAAATGGGAATGTTAATTAATGCATTTGTCATAAAACACTAGTAATGTGTAGTAAGAATTTGGTTTCATAATCTTTGAAGAAGCCAGGACAATACTGAGTTCTACTCTTGGTTATTTATTTTTAACCTCATACACCAAATGAGAAGGGAGGACTCACTGGAGAAGACTCTGATGCTGGGAAAGATTGAAGGTAAAAGAAGAAGGGGACAGCAAAAGATGAGATGGTTAGACAGTGTCATCGATGTAATGAGCATGAAATTAAGCAAACTCCAGAGGATGGCAGAAGACAGGAGGGCCTGGCATGATGCGGTCCATGGGGTCGCAAAGAGTCGGACTCGACTGTGCAACTGAACAACATATCATAGGATCAACAAAGTTTAGGGAGTTGGCGGGGGGGCGACACAACACTGCTAAATTATATCTGTACAAGAGAACACTGCTGTACCATTGTACTTTTGTATTTTGAAGGCAAAAGTCGAGCAAGGAAATCTCTTTGACTGATTACAGCATATTTCCTTACACCTGCATTGAATTGTTTCTCATTAAACACATTCAGCATTCCATTCAAGAAAACCATTATTATACAAACCTTGGTTATCAACATCTCCCAATTACCTAGACCTTACTATGTCTCTGCACAATAATTTCACATGAAGAGTAATTTAGAGCTTCTTGAATGCAGCTGTGGCATATAATACAGTATTTGCATGTAGTACTAATGTCATTTATGTCAGTGCTGAAATCCCAGAATGGAAAAACCAAGGATGTAATGTTCATCTTTAATTTTTCACACAAAAAGTACTCAATACAGCCAAAGGGCCACAGAATTCACTTGTGAGGCTTAGAAATACATTCTTATGGAGGAAATACTCTATGACTGCAAACCTCCCCACAAAGCTGCTAAGATTCTTGGGGGGGGGGGGGTATAAAGCTTCTTCTTACCCTCTGCTGAAACAGTGACAGCAACAGAGAAGGTCATATACATGTCTGTCCCTTCATGGCAGCTCTTTAGGAATGACCTGGAATCTTCTGACACACTATCTTAAGCTGGCCTCTGAACAGCTTAGAATGGTAACTAAACTCTACACTGGTGTAAGTAGAAGATATGCCAAGTCATGCTGCCAACCCAGAGTTGGGTTAGAAATTGGCAATGTCAGGGGTGCCTTGAGAGTGTAGTGGAACTTAGCTGGCATCCTAAACCTACCCAGCCTGCATCTTGCCTCAGCACAACACTGTACTGGAGACAAAGCTGCCTTAGCTTTTAAAACTGCCAAACAGCACCTGAAGTGTGAAAATATAAGCTCTTCTCCCTGTCACCGATCACGCCACCAAACTCTGGCAAAGCACAGGATACTGACTATAAGCCTGTACACCTCTTATAGTGAACATTTATGCAAATAATCCATCCACTTGTTCACCCACGGCATGGGGAGATAGAGCAGGTATGAGCATGCTGGCCTCACCCTCCTGCCTCTGCATGAACACTAAGTGGTCTGCCTGGAGGGAATGTGCGAAGGAAGCACCTGCACTTACACCCCCTCCCGGGGAGAAGCAATGTTGCTGATCATGGGGAGAGGGTGTATGAGCAGTTGCTTCCTCCATGTGTTCAACTCCATGCACACCACTCAGCGATTGTGCGGCAATAGAGCCAGCGTGCTTATGTCTACCTCCTCATGCATTGAGTGAATGTGTGGATCATCTATACAGGGCTTCTGTGTACAGTGTGCACATGGTTTTTCTTTATACATGCATGAAGTAATTCTTATGTTATACTGAATGTGCATACAACTGAATGCACAATTTAAACTTAGCATTTATCTAGGTACTGAATCCTAGTATTATTTTTGAAGTGAACACATGTTGGCTGCTTCTTACAATCAAACAGATGTATGCATGTGGATGCAGCCGTATGCTCATTCACTTGTGACTGCAGCCAATCACAGCTCTCCAGATCACTACTTAACCCCATGCCAGCACATCCATAACTCAGATGAGTGTGTAACATGGGACTACATGTAGAACACACAAAGGGAGACATTAGGGACTGGAGAAAAGAACTTTGCACAACACACGAGCACCAACAGGCACGGGACAGAATAAATGCTGTAGCATATGTCTAATGCTGCACTGCCCCAACCTCTTGAAGATACACCACCTCAAGACACAAATACCGCCTCACGTAAGCAAAGGAAGGGGGCACTTACTATGGCTGTGACCACTGTTCCCTCTAAGCTGAGTTAGTCTGAGCTAGCTCACAGATTTTTGCCTCAGCTCAGGAAGGATGACTCCAGAGCAAACCAATTTATGCAATAGCCAAATCGCTCGCTCACAACTTTGATGCCAGTAGCTCACAAAGGAGAATTTTTGCTCACAAGACTCCACAGCTTAGAGGGAGCATTGGCTGTGACTACTGCAACTGGTTCCCCCTGTCCTTACTCTGTAGTACAACCTTCCCTATTCAACAGCTGCTACTAGTAAAGCACCTTGCAAATACGCCAATAGCATATCACCATGGTGTCTGCACGATGTCATATTTGTGTAACCACCTGCAAGTCAGGGATACACAGAGCACAACCACAGGCTTCAGGGTGACTAACAGCCACTCCACCCTACACATTTCAGGGTGACTAACAGCCACTCCACCCTACTGGAGTGGCTACTGCTGGCCAAATATGAATGGTCCTATGCTTTACACAACCTGCACCCCAGCGGATAATGCAGAAACAGTTGCAGTGCAATACCCCATGGCTGATGGGCAAGAATAAGCTCACTGGTTATAGCATGCTTCCTAAGAGATACTTCCTAACACATGGTAACCCCCCAAGAGAGCAGGTGTAGGAACTGCCAGAGTGTCATGGAGTCCAGGTACTGTTTCCTGCTACTATGGAACACTGCTCATTACCATCCACACGTCCCTACTGAATGGCACTATATGCACTACCACAGTCCTTCTGGGTTGAGACAGAGAAGTATAAGTGCTACACCACCAAAGGACATGCCTGTGCTACTGCTACTTCTGAGTTGTGGTACTACTGCATAAGCATTGATCTCAAGTGCTCCAGCAGCAAAATAGGCCATAGGATAAGTATCTAAAGAATTATTTGAAAAAGGAGGGACCAAAAAAGCAATATTTAGGTTCCGCAGAAGGTCCACACATGTTCTAAGTACCTAGCTTTTTGTTCTGAACCATGTTTTATGCTAGATTTCACACTGAGTTGAATGCAAAGAATCTTTAAATCCTATCCTGTGTTTTGATAACCCAGATAATGTGAATTTTGATCAAGCATTTTCTTCTACTCAAAAACCATTAATTAATAAGAACAGGACTTTCATTATCTCAAAGGTAATTTATTTCTAGCCACAGTGCAGGGCTACACGCCACTTGCAGTCCAATAAGGCAGACCGCAGATCTCAAATGCTGGAGAACACACAAAAGTTTCATTGCGTTCTTTGGGGTCTCCATATGCCAATACAAATAACTTATCACAGATGAATAACTTCTAAATAAATCAATCTATTGTTTTGTTAAAATGACAACTATGGAATTGAACTGTGCATGTGTCACACAATGTACATTCAAAAAACTAAAAAATATATATATACATACCCAATGTGGCTACTGTCCCGATACGGCAGCACTGAGAATATGCTACAAAAGGATCTTCTGCCGCTAATAAGGACTATTCTAGAGAACAAAACAAAAATGAATATGTAGGATGGAACATCCAATAATGTACTGATTTCCACATCCTCATGATGTGGAGGAGGAGGAGAATTGGATTTATACCCCACCCTTCACTCGGAGTCTCAGCGCAGCTTACAATCTCCTTCCCTTCCTCTCCCCTCAACAGACACCCTGTGAGGTAGGTGGGGCTGAGAGAGCTCTTTTGAGAACTGCTCTTTTGAGAAAAAGCTCTGAGAGAACAGTGAATGACCCAAGGTCACCCATGGCTGCATGAGAAGGAGTGGGGAATCAAACCTGGTTTTCAAGATGAGTCTGTCGGTCTTAACCACTACACCAAACTGGCTCTCATAAAGGCAATCAGTGTTTTACAGCTTGTGCAAACAAAACCATTATATGGCTTGAAAAAACAATGTTTTAAGGAAAGCAAGAGGGTTGTGAGTGGTAAATAGTTAAATCTTTAGTAATTTGCATCTGTGTATTGACTTAATGGTTCCATTAAAATTCTGCATTGTAGTTTTGTCTCTTTCATTATTCTTAAGTAAGGCAGCTCAAGGGAAACGACTAATGGGTTGGGCAGCTGATGTCACTGTTCTTTGTTTTTGTTTTTAGTAGAGCACTCTGCTATAGATAGTTGAGAAATAAATGGATCCTCTAGGCCAGAGTTCATAAATGCCTCAACAATTGGCACCTGCAAACTGGATGACAGCACTACTACTTATACTACTTATACGCTAATAAGATCTAGCATCAAACAGATGGCTTCACTCTGTTGTGTTTTCACACAAAAATTACACTAAATACTACAGTTCAGAGCAATAATTAAGTTTCCAAAAGCATCTGACATGAGTCTTTTCAAAGCATGCATTTTAATAGTCCAATATATAATGAAGTTGGTACAAGATGTGCTAGGATTTCAGCTCAAAACACAGACGCTGTCAGGGGCAGTGCAGGATGTCTTGTAAGTTGGGTGTTAATCTACTACAAGTGTTCCTCTAGGCCAGGGGTCCCCAAGGTTTTGCAGCCTGAGGGAACTTCTGGAATTCTGACCACCTCAAAATGGCGGCTGGCTGTCCCCAGCCAGAGCCAGGGTGTTTCTCTGCCCTGGCTCCAAACCTGGTGGAATGCTCTGCCGAATAACATCCGTGCCCTGCGGGACTTGTTACAGTTCTGCAGGGCTTGTAATGCCAGGCATTCGGTTGAGGACAGCGATGGTTACATCTTGGCACCCCCACCTCCCTGTCCTTCTCCGGGAGGCAGCAGCTCTATTGGAATTTCAGTGCTATCTCTAACCGCTGTCTTAATCTGTTTTTATTGATGTTTTGTATGATTGTCTTGTGCATTGCCCTGAGCCCGGTCCTTTGGGGGAGGGAAGTTGGCAAATCCAATTAACAACAACAACAACAACAACAAGAAAGCACAGCCAAACACAGAATTGTGGTGACTTATGCCATTCAGCAGTCACCCTGTTGAGTTCTGTACCAGTTTTTTTTTTAATTGACTCTCCTAAAAAGGAGAGAGTTTATTCATTTTTCAATAAAGAAAGAGGAAGGTATATAGTGGGATAAAGAAAAGTTTGGGTGATCTTATTATTAGTATGTTAATCTTTTATTAGTAATACACAAATCTTCTTTTGGCTTCTTCTGCGAGTTGTCAATCGTCTTTCATCTTTATCTGTTAAGAAAATTAAAAAACCCTGTTAATAGATTAGTAGTGTCCCTCTGGTTTTTGTTAGTAAAGTCTTTTTCATGCGCTTTCCGAACTCGTCTTCATGGTCTGGGCAGCCTCCCTTTCACGTCTCTCAGGTTGTATGAAGGACCCTTCCCTGCTCCTTTGTCCTCCGGGGTCTTAACTTCCCCCTCCGATCCGCTGTCTCTGTCGCTGTCCATTTCCTCCCATGTGGCGAGTGCTGCTTCCTCCTTGCTGGCGTGCCTCTTCAAAAAGTCTTGAGCTTTGAAAATGGAGTCAATCTTCTCCCTTTTATCTTTGAACTTGAAAATGAGTCCTTCTGGAATCAACCAGCGATAATTAATTTGATGGTTCTGCAAGAATAAGGTCAATCCTTTATATGCTTTCCTTTTCATTCGAATTTCAAATGGAACATCTTTCAAAATTCTAATTGTCTGCTCTCCAATCTTCATAGGCGTTGATGAAGATGCTTG